AGTTCTTCCGCATGTTCAGCTGTACCTTCCTCGGCTTCAGTTTGTGCCCGTTGCCCCTTGTCCTGTCACTGGGCACCACTGAAAAGAGCTTGGCCCCATCCTCCTGACACCCACCCTTCAGATATTTATAAGCATTTATTAGGTCCCCTGATAGGTACCTTACATTAAGCTATATTATTTAAGTTACATAAACTATACTTACAAAAAGACATCATGCTTGCTTGTGGCAAGGCGTGTTTTCACCGCACTGCAAGCGCTCAGGGGTTTGAAAGTAAATAGAAATTGCTGTAGGAATGGGAACCAGGACTCGGTCAAGGGCTCTGCTTTGTCAGACTTTACTGGTAGCAGGTTTCTGTGCATGCAGCCACAGGTATTTACACATTTCAGCATTTATTACAGAATTTATTTAAATATTTAAAATATATTTAGAAGTTGCTTAGTAGGCAATATATTTAAATATTTTAATATGTATTTCAATATTATGTATTATATTAATTATAATATGTAATATATTAAATATAATATATTTAAATATCACAGAATCACAGAATGTTCAGGGTTGGAAGGGACCTCTGTGGGTCATCTAGTCCAATCCCCTGCCGAAGCAGGGTCACCCATTTTTTTTTTGTCGCTGGGCACCACTGGAAAGAGTCTGGCCCCATCCTCCTGACACCCACCCTGCAGATATTTAGAGGCATTTCTAAGGTCCCCTCTCAGCCTTCTCTTCTCCAGGCTGAACAAGCCCAGCTCCCTCAGCCTCTCCTCATAGGAGAGATGCTCCAGTCCCCTCATCATCCTCGTAGCCCTCCGCTGGACTAAATTCCTTTGTTTTCTAAATAACAATATATTCTATTTTTATAATTATTGAATATAAATATTTTATGTTTGATAGAAATATATAAATACAAAAAAGTCCATGACATGCAAACTGCTAGTAAAAAATAATCCCTCATGTAAGTAAGGCCAAACTAACAAGAGCAGAGCATGCACTACTCCTTTTGTATTTAGTCTAGGCTTTAATACCAGAACAGAGTAAAGTGATTGTTTTCAACTAGAACATTTTGGAAGCTAAATATACCCAAAGAAGTTCCGATGGAGTTTTATCGCTGTAGAAAGCATCAGGAATTATTGCTGAGAAGAAACAGAGTACTTCAGGTCAAGCAACGTTGGGCAGATGCGCGCGGGAGCCTGGCAAAGCTGCCCGTTCCTTCTGTCACTGGACGTGCCTGGTGCGTGGCCGAGGCGACAAAAACCCGCTTTACTTCATTCCCCCCGCCCCAGTGGGGGTTAGAATAAAGCCTGGGATAGAATACTCCGATTTGAGGTTGCTGTTGAAAGGGTAGTTTGGAGAAAAGGGTAAGTCTGAAAGTCCCCACCCTGGAGTTACTCGCTTTCTTATCTTGGGTTAAATTTTAACAGCGTTTCTGATTTGCTTTAAGGAGAATGAGCTGAAATTTGCTCACTCCAGAATTGATTTTCTTTTAATTTAGAGAACATGCTGTTAGCCTTCTTCTTTTTTTACAGTCAGGAAACGCTGTTTAAGCAGAGCTCTGAAGAATTTCTAGCAGATTAGAGAGCAGAGCAATACCTGAAGCAAGCGGCCGCTTAAGGCATAGATCTTTGTTTACATTGCGTTGAAAAGATTGCTTAAATCAGTTTCTCTGGGTCAAAGCTGATTCAAAAGCTCCTCTTTTTTCCCTTTGTTTACT